TTGGTGGGGAAGCCTAGTGAATAAAGCGTTCGTTTGTTCGAACCAATATTTGATTTTCGACAATGTTCCAAACCCTTTTCTGGTGTCCCCGGTCGTGATATTGTTGGAATATTGCTAAAAGCCGGGTAAAACTATAGTCACTCACTCACTACTGATTCTGGACACATTTGAATGGTAAATGAAGGTTTCAGCAGTTACGTTTAATTGCTAAAAACAGCGTAAAACTTCACTCATTCACTCCATGGTTTGGTATGGAACCGTTGAATTATGTTTTGTTCTGCAAACGTGGTCTCCTGCAAGGCAGATCCTTACCCATGGACTATTCATACGAAAACACATATAATATTGGTTAAACCAGATCCGAAAACAACAGGAAACAAAAAAACATGCTCACAGAATATCAATGATACCCGTTTGCAATGAAAGCCTACCGCTGAAACGTTACTGTAATTTTACATCACAAACTGAATATCGCACCAGTGACAGCGGCCCCCGTGTTGGCCCTCAATATGAGCCTCTGTGGTAAGCCCCTGCAAACAACACAGATCGAACGCAAGCCTCTAGGTCACGTGACAGCCCAAATATGTTGTAGTGTCTGTTTTGTTTTGTCCCACTTACTTGTTTACTTGCCAAGAAAGGTATTCTGTTTGTGTCCTACATTTAAAGACATAGTACCCAACGCTTCCTTATTTACGGTTTACGACAGAAACTAAATCTAATTGTCACTAAAATTGTTCATGACAGCTTCAGGATATAGTATCCTAATCGAAATGGTGCATTACAAAATTGGTTACCTGGACGACAGCTTGCAGTAAATAACGCAACGGATTTTACTAATTGATGTTTGGAGATATAGTGATGTTGCTGTTGCGGTCTATGTTGCTGTTGCTGACACGGATTCAGCGATTTTATAAAGGCTGCAGCTCCGTAAACAGTCTCTCGCACAACCCACTATAAACATCGAAACGTTTTCCTCGTTTAGTCCCGATTTTGACAGACCACAATTACCCACTAAACTTTGAGCCGGTGCATACTTAAAAGAACCAACACACACAAAAAATGCCGCATTTATAGCCCGGATGAAATGTAAACGTTGCCTTTATTCCACTGGCTTACAAATTCACGTGCATTTGTTTTTTACATTGTTGCAACTAAAGGTTTTATTGAGAATTAGCTTTATATCCATGTCTTTTGAAGTGATTAATGACTGGTTTAAACAAACAGAAATAATGAAGTCTCCCTGGCCTCAGAGGACTTCCTGTGAGCACGCGCCGCCATGTTTATTTTATACTTAACTCTCGTGGCACGAGCATACAGTCCGACTTCCCAAGGTCATGTGATTATTGAATCAACCCATTCTTTATTCCCATGAACTATCCACATGCACATAGATCAAAATTCCAGCACATAGCAACATTACAATTTATAAATTTATATCAATAAACATAAAAGAACACAAATAGAACATACATTCAATAGCGGAAATGTTCAGAACACCAATTAGCCGGACAGTAGCAGGAGATAAAATGTAAAATATATGAAATAAATAAATTAAATTCATTTAGATCCCAAAATACAATTTTAGATTGTCAAAGTCTAACTTGCACTAAAATGAATTAGTTAAACAAAATAAATACAATTTAGATTGTCAAAGTTTCGATGGCAAATATCCATCGTTACTCAAGTTACCTTAGAAATATGCATGCAATGTGGCAGGTTTTTCTCTCCATTGCACAATAGGTGACTGTTTTCAGACATTGTATAACACATTGCCGTGTGGGTGTCAATATCATCAGCAGTTGCTCAAATCCCCCAGATAAGCAGTAGGACGCATGAGCTATTTGTAACGAGAGCCCCGATAGCATTACATTCACAGATACCCTCTTGCGTTGTATTGTAACAATGACGTGACACTGGGTGTTAACCTTATCAGATTTATATCATGACGGTCATTGGGTATAGCTTGAACTATTGCCTTATAACATCCATGACATTAACTGAATGTACGTTACGAGTAACCCAAGGGTGTTTCAACGTTTGTCTGAATTATGCCAATTTAATGACATTGTTAAGGAAAATGGTAACCGTTGCTGCCATTGAACTTCTGAAGGTGTGTTTAACTCCTGCTACTGATGCTACAAATATTCTTCTGATTGCATCGATTGTTTAAACTCCATTGAACGTCATCAACGTCAGCCCTGAAGACATCAGACGCCTAGGCATGTAGATATGAGTGATTTTGAACGCCGCTTAGAACAGTATTTCAGTTATCATAAAGGGGTGTTAGCTTGATGTGGGCCAACCGAAAGATCTCAATCAAAGTAAATTATAATGGGATCCCACGACCACTAGATCCTGCATGGTCTAAGGGAAGTAACTACGCATGAAGGGATGCAACACTAAACTTTACAAGTTGAAACACTCAAGCATGAATATGGCGCTGAGAACCAAAAATCTCAATCAAAGCGAATCTGTGATGAGATCCCACGACCAGAACATCCTTGATCGACTGGGGAGGTGGGGAAGCCTAATGGTTAAAGTGTCCGCTCGTCACGCAGAATACCCGGGTTCGATTCCCCACATGAATACAATGTGTGAAGCCCATATCTGGTGTCTCCCGCCGTAATGTTGCTGAAATACTGCTAAAAGCGGCGTAAAACCATACTCACTCTCTCACTCACTCCTTGATCGACTAAGGGACGTAACTGCGGCATCGGACACCAACGAAACACCCAAGATAAAAACTGAAACTTGTTCCAGCCGTGATGTATACAAGATATCCACATGAGCGTCTGTCTATGCAAACCGTCGTTCTATCACATTACACATTTTGCGGCAGGTAACGTAAACAGACAATCTACTCACTTCATATCCATGGACAGATTTTGAAAGGTCTGACTCCACTTTAAAATAGTACAGTGTTGATTTATGCGTATATACACAGTGTGCGTTACGTCACAGTGGCGCCTGACGTTACTGTGTGTTCACACAAAGCAAGACGTTCTAATGAGTACGAAGCCAGTATAAGTATATACGTCGCCTGATATTCTTTGTCTGCAGCTACAACAATCAGCCTTGACCACGTACTCATTGTCCAAGATATTGACTGTTTGCTTTAATATTTCGTTTAAAAATTAACTAAAACGTGAAAAAGCTCATTCCTTTGTCTTCCTGACGCCGTAAGCCTCCGCAGTCTATGTTTGAGTTTACGTGGGATCTGAGGCACTTGAGTGAGTGAGTGAGTTGAATGTGATGTAGACATTTACCACTTATGTGAAACCCATGTGCACTGCACTGTGCTGGCAAACCAAGGATTACTATCCGCGAATCGCATGCATGATCAGCAGATCCTGACAACGGTAGGGGGGACAACTGCGCACAGAGTAAATCTAGGTACCGTGCAACCCGTGCACTAGACACAGTGGGCACTGATGAGGTTCAAGACTCTGAACAAAATTTTTACTCATTCCATGCCTTCTTAAACCTGTTTCTTTAAGACCAAGCATCGACGCCGAATTTCATCCATTTTCTTCATATTTTATTCCCTTTACGCCCAAGTGATTCTCTTTCGGTTCATAAACAAGACTGGTTAGTGTCTTGACTTATACTATGCATGCGTTGGTAGAAATACCAATTCTATAATACTGTTCAACTATCTCATAACACAGAGGGGAGTCCTGGGTATCACCACTCCTACTCCACAATGTTCAAAACATACAAGGCCCCTAGTGCATGTTGACTTGTCAAAGCTCTATATATAACGTAAAGACCTCCTAAAACCCGCCCCGCCAAGCAGATGAATACAACGATATTATTTACCCCTCTTCAACAACCGCCCTGCCCATCTATAAATATTTAATCGATAAAAAAGCGCATTCAACAGGTTCTACTATTTATATCCATGAAAGCATCAAGTCTTTAATCTCTAGGGGATTCGGAAGAGAACACCTGGATTAATTACACCTGTCCGCCCCCGCTAGCAGATTCACAGGTAATGTCACAGGTAGCACCAAAGCAGGATCATATGTTGAACGCGCCGGCGATAATCCTCGCCACTCTTACGCTTGTCAGAAGCCCGTAGTCTTTCGTGCAGAAGCTTCAAAGAAACTGTTAACCTTGTAACCAGTGTTAGTTTGAAAGTTGAATAGTTGCTAGGCCAGCTGATTGTGCAGGCTATGCTTAAAAAATACCTTCTTTGCCTACCGCCGTCACTGAGATTCGGACCTACGACAGTTTCATTGTACAACGCTGAAACACCTGGGTGATGAGGTAAAGGTATTGTTCTTCAGCTGTTTCAGCTGGACCGTACTTCTAAAATTGATGCTTAAGTGATCATATCCAATTTAGTTTCTACGCTACAAGAATCAAGAATACCACTCAAATTTAATGAAATAATATCTTTACAAAATAAAAAAACAGGTATGATAAACAACACTGAACCATTCTTAAAGACATAACAACATGAATTATTTTTCTGATTGGAATCGGATTAATTTGACCACACACGAGTAAGAAGACATTTTTCTTTGTAAAAATATTCATTTTGAAAAGTAGCAGGAAGCTGTCAAATTAAATGAGACAATCGCTAGAGGCGTCCTGATATCAACATCCCTTACAATAAATGTATTTTATTTTTTCGTCACGCTTACAACAAGGTACAAGTTTACCATTGACAGGCACCAACCCACAGCGCCATTTTGCGGACAGACTTATCAATCAACATCTTTAATTTTTCATTCTTTTGAGAAAGATCAGTGCCGCTTTTCAGGCATTTATTTTCTCACACCCACAATTTACCTGTCAGAGTGAAAACAACCGCAACTTCTAGTTTAATTATTTTTAACCATGATGACATTTACGCAATGAAATATAGTATTACTAACGTAGTTTGACGTTGCTGTATTCTGATACGTTCTTGCTGGAATATGAAGGTCATTCATTTTTTATGTAAAACAACTAATATTTTAATAAATTAATAAAGAAAGTATTAAAACACTTACCTTTAGAACGACAGCTGTGAACATAAGCAATGAAAGAATCATTTTGATTCAGTGTAAGTCCTCACTATACGGGAACACAAAGTCCTACAAGTCCAGTGTTTTAAAACCAGGCGTTTGCTCGTCTTTCACGCAAGCACGTATCTCTGTTAATCCTGAGAAAACTGCCTGTTTTATACTCTTTTCCCTCACGCCAATCCGTAAACTAGACTTAACCAGTGGGCGAGCGTTACCTCATTTTACTCAACACCGGGGAAATGTTAGCCAATCATATGACTTGTTTCAGGGTCAGAGTTGAAGGGTTAGTTATCTGACCTCGCTATACAGCATGGAGCATGGCAGGACATCTACAACACGTGGGCAGGGCAAACACCCCCTGTCCATCTCACCGCAGGGCCCCAGTAGAGAGTAAAACTTACCATGTAGATATCGGCATGCCTCCCTAGTGGATGAACTTGTTCTTTCTGGTGTGTAGATTCAGTGTCAAAATAAATTCAGAAAACGTCCGTATCAGTTTGGACAAGAAGTTATTATGTAAAAGCTTTGTGTGTTTTGCCTGATAAGGAAGTTATCGGGGTTGAGCTGTTACAGGAAATGCACAAGAATCGCTTAACAAATATTGACTTTGTGTTGATGCAAACTTGGATGTCAGTCAAAACTTTTCTTTTCCAATCTCAACTCTTTTCCAGAAGGATAGATATACTTTACAGCCCACTGAGACTTTACATTACGAATGAAGTAAATATACAAAACACAACGTATGATGCATAAAAAGGGCTTATGTAACTTCCACTATATCAGGCGGAGCTTTAAATGATATTTTTTAAAGTCTGTTTCGATTGCTCTGTGTAAAAGGGTTATAAAAATTACTTAAAGGTCCCTTTGTCTATTGTATACCAAGAATTCCGATTCTTTTGATCAGATAGGGTTATCTTAAACGTATGGCAATTAAGGTTTGTGGTATTAATGAAAATCCGATGTTAATATGTGTCCCCCGCCGTGATATTGCTGGAATATTGCTAAAAGCGGCATAAAACTAAACTCACTGATATCGCTATAATTATCCTAATGCGACGTTTAAATTACGTTTAATTTTAATTCCCTCACTCATGTTGTCAAAGTTGTCCAACAAATAATCTTTAAATTGCGACATCGTAGTTCAAAGTTGTCCAACAAGTATTCTGTTTTCCCTTATTCATTCATCACAGGTAAAGATGGTTATCTAGATAACGGCCTGACCCAATGCTTTCATTTTATCAGTAGGTTAAAACAACAGAAAAAACCCTCGTGGTTCCCTTGCTTAGTAACACAGTAACAGGGCAATCTGTGATTCGAACCGCAGCTGCGTCGTAATGTAAGAATGGTACTTGTTATTTCCCTTCCTGGTGCTTCACCGATGGGCTTTGGTTCAGTTTTACTTTCAGAGTGGAGAATCCTTAAAATTCGGCGTACTATCTCACTGGGTTAATACAATAAACCAGTCGTAAGTCGGGACTAGTATACACACTCGAATACACACATTCTCTTACGTACACTCACGTACGTACGCACGCATATGCATACTCACAGCTATGAACACATGTTTTGTGTAACGCAACACTCAGCAATATTCCAGCTATATGGCGACGGTCTGTAAATAATCGACTCTGCATCAGACAATCCAGTGATTAACAGCATGGGCATCGATCTATGCAGTTCGGATACGATGACATGTGGCGACCAAGTCAGCGAGCCTGACCACACGATCATACAAGCATGGGTTGTTGAAGACCAATTCTAACCTACGAATGCAGTCTCTATGTAAGTGCAGTGACTTGCCAGTGAGTTAGGACGCTGCATTAAACCTCATTTCACCTGTTTACAACCGTTACCAGGGTTCCCGTACCTCCGACATATTCTCTCACAGGTATCGTAGAAGAGAGATGTTTACAATAGACTTACACTATGTGTACACACTCACCAGCCTTCGTATGGCAGGCCATCGGGGACACATTTCCTAGATGCCCGCTACGACGCAATATGATTACAACCTGTTACTGTTGTCTGTGTTTTTTGTGCTATCAACAAAACGGATGGGTGGAAGCGCATAGGGCGACGAAAAACGCCCGTGTTATTGCAGCACATTGGTAGGAAGAATGGTGAATATTCGCAAGGTTCATTCATCTGAGGGGAAGCTGTTCATTAAATGTCAGGAAAACCAAGACTGCAGCATTCGCGGCATACTAACCACTGACTTGCATACGTAATATTCTTTCCAACACACCTTTTCTCGTTCTGGCATGAGAAAGTTTTTCTCTTAAGGAGCATAAAAATACGTCCGATTTGTAGATGTTAAATCATTTACACTTAAAGATCTTACAGATACTTTAGACGCTATAAGTGACCACCTACTTGGTGTAGTAGACAGAGCATCTGATTGGTGAAGGTCGGTAGTTCGATCCCGGCAGGGTCATATCAACAGACGTTAGAAGATGGTATTTGTTCTTTCCCTGCCCAGTGTTCGGCATGTAGGGAAGATAACTTGTCATTATGGTGTGTCTGAGTGGGCTATCCATGTTAAATAGTGTCACATCTGGGTAGCAATAGGAAATCGGCTGGTACCTCACTGTGCTAGCCCTATAAAACCGGCATTAGTCCGGACGAGAGAGAGAGAGAGAGAGACACAGACAGACACACACACACACACACACACACACACACACACACACACACACACACACACACACACACACACACACACACACACACACACACACACACACACAAAACACACAAACACACACACACACACACACACAAAAACACAACGTAATTGAAATGAACGCGTTGCACCCGTGTGGGGAGTCAAACCTGAGCTTACGCTTTAACCACTGGGCTTCAGGTATTCGGCGTAACCAGCGAACGGTTTATCCGCTCGACTAGTATACATGTACACTTGAAGTTGGATTTGACCAATAAATAACTGTGTAATTATCTTTCCATTGTTGATTCTTTGGTATTTTCATATATTTTTTATTTTTTTCAATTTCAATTATTCAATTCTTATTTATTTAAGATTTTGAAAAAACAATAGTTGTTATTTTCTTTTATCAATTTATATTATTTTTAATTCATTTATATTATTTTTATTTTATTTAATTATTATTTTATTTCTATTTCGGGAGGGGGGGGGGGGGGGGCGCTACCATCGGTCATATTTTCATTCTACTCTTTTGTCCATTAGTTCAGATTTTACATGATTAACAATAATTGGTACATTCAAGCATAGAACAAAGTGAAATTCAGTTTTTGTACACTTCACAGTTCAATATGTGTAGATGGTCTTCGTTCCACATAACGTATGGTCATCCTGGTCGGAACTGTGCGAGGGATTAACGGACTATACCAGACAACAGACAAAACAGACAACAGACAACAGACATAAGACCTGCAGCATACACACTCTGGTACACTGCGATGATCTGAAGTGCTTTGGATTGGCGAGGTCACTGCAATACGATAAATAAACGCCTCTTTAATGGTTCGTAATGAAACCCACTATTTGTCCGTGAACAGATTAACGACTTGACGCGTGATCAGCAATCATGTTATTTTCAATAATATGTTGCCTGTTTTCTCCCAATTGAATATGGGGCGGTGGGGTAGCCTAGTGGTTAAAACGTTCGCTCGTCACGCCAAAGACCCGGGTTCGATTCCCCACATCTGTGAAATGTGTGAAGCCCATTTCTGGTGTCCCTCGCCGTGTCATTGCTGGAATATTGCTAAAAGTGGCGTAAAAATAAACTCACTCACTCACTCACTCACCCAACTGAATATGTTTCGGCGGATAGTAACAACTGATTATTTTGTGACGTTGACGTTTTGAATTAAGACAGATTTACAGAATAATATATGTTTATGTCCATGTAGGCATGTAACAAAATTCCAAATACGTAAAAAATTACGTTTCAGATTTAGCTCATAACGATATGCTATTGACTGAATTCTTTCACAGTTGCCGTAGAACTTAAAAGGGAACTGAAGTATGTCATTGTTTTAAAGAATTTCAAATGGTGTTTCCAATAAAGGCCATAAAAAAACTTGACAATAGTGTTTTCCTCGAGCGTTAAGCGAAAAGAGAAATAGCAAACGCCTTCACCAGCGAGTTGGCGCCCGTGTAAATCCAACAGCACCTTGACATTTGGGCTTTATTATGTTTAATAACGGTCATTTTCTGGGTTGTAAACAAGGTAAACAACTTTAGTCAGGGTAACCAGGCTCATTTGGAACATGTACTTTAAGACATGGGCTTTTCGCATTATAATTATACACGTTATGTTTACAATATGGTGCAAAAATATAACTTCTCGAAATGTCAACGTTTGCATTACGTACATGTCAAAGGGTGTATTTATTATTCATTTTTCAAATGTATTATTTTGATAATTGAAATTTCCTGTATTTGTTGTTGTTTTTTCTAGCATTCCGTTTCCTTCGCCAGAATATAATGTCAAGGATACGTGTTGTAACTGCAGCAAAACGTGGTACTTTGACAGAAGGTAACGTCACAGCGTATCTAAATATAGAGACCTGTTTACGACACTGCAGCTGCGTTCGCCATAACGACATCGTCTACAGATGTTAACCAAAACGTTGTACTACAACGTTTTACAAAACAACATCGTCAAACTACCTTGTTATTCACTTCACAAAGTCTCAGAACCTGTTTACGACAGTTAACGTTAAACCCACGCATTAAAGAACCACGTGTTTTCTATCACAGGTATTTTTTGCTCAAACCGTAAATGACATTGCTATTGACAACTGCTTTGATTGCTGTAAGAACAAATACATGGACGCGTGGGAGATGAAGGCTGTGACCAGCATTGTCTTCTGGTATGCCAAGCGTTTGGGGAAAAGGTTGCTCAATATTTTTCAAAGCAAATAATCGTGTCGTTCACGTAGGTTGAAATGAATTCCATTATTTTAAAACTAAACAGTCTTACATGCGTTTGAGCTGGCATTACGACCTGTATCGTCCATCCGCAAACGAGGTATAGACTGCAGGTGTCCGGGGTTGAACTCCTGCTCGCCATATGAAACATGTTGCCACTAGGTTTTCATCCTCGTAGCTTTTAGCCCCAGCGAACATAACATCAATGCGTAACGTTTGTTGAAATACTTACTACAACTGATGTGATTTAATCATAATAATTTGGAAATTTCATCA